TTTAATCTTCTTATTGAACTGCGTTGGGAAGAAGCGGTCTGAAGTTCATGAAAAAATTCGTTTGTATTCACGTGCGCGCTGAGATGCTTAAATTTTTTTTGCACAATCACTGTGTGTTTGTTTAACTGAGGCGCTAGCATAGAGTTTTGTTGTGATATTTAGAAAGAACGTTTGTGTTTAAACGACGTAAGAATTGAAACATTTCATATTTTTTGCACATGTCAGTATCTAGAGTCTTCGTATGGCACACACATGCTCTCCATACTGAAACGGCCTGTTAGGCCCATATTGCAGAGGTGGAACTGTTTTTTTGCACCAAAATTTTTATGTTTACCTTTTGATCTGCAAGTGACTTAAAATTCTTTACCCTGAAGTTAACATAAAGTGCTCTTCTGTTACATTTGCCTTGCGTCAAGGGTGCAACGCAGTCACGTGATTCTTGTGTATTCACACTTTATGAGCATACATGTGTAACCACAGCGGAGAACACTATCGCTTTGGCAGCGTTATGGCTCTTGTTCAGAACAAGGTAAAAATAGGATTAGCGTATATCATCGACGTATTTCTTCATGGTTGGAAGCGTGTTGAGTGAGAGAATGACATAAACGGAAGGACATATTTCCGGTTCACTGCAGCGCGTTTAGAATTGCCCAATTTTCTAAAGAAAAACTGATGATTCCTAAATTAGTTTTACTGAAGATCGCTGTGCGGGTTTGAATGTAGCGCGAGTTGTGAAAGATGGTGACCCACCACGATCGCTCCACTCTTGTAAAAGCGACATATCAACGCCCTGCAGTAACGCGGTGGGCAGGACCGTGGAAGATGTGGGTCTATTATGATATCAGCCGTAGTCGTTGTCACTTTTTCAAGGTACAGGTCAAAGTCCACTAGAGCTGCGAAGACATGCAGTAAAATGTTATACATGAAATGTCCTCCGATATGAGCGTCCGCATTAGGAGATAGTGTTTATCTTAATTCACCATGACCATTTCGCACACTACTCTTTATGAACTGGTACACTCTAATAAGTTGAATGCCATAAGATAGCTGTGGTTTGAACGCAGTCGCCTTAGCCCTACAAGAAAGGAGAAAAACAGTTACGACTATGATGATGCATGCGTTTGCATAAGGATAATTGACAATTAGCGTATTCAGGAGCACATTTGCTGTGCCATACTAAGCAAATTCTAAACTTTTCCAGGCACGAACCGAAAGGGAACCCTACAAAAATCCAAGAAATGCGCTCTGGCGTGATCACAGCAACACACTAAGAAGCCGATTCAATTGTAATATTTTTCTAGAGCTAGGAAGCAGTATCATAAGAATTGTGCAGTCCACAAATAGCAAAGCTGTTGACCTCCCCGACAGTGTATTCATACGCAGCGTGAGATTAACCTGCGTTCTAACATGCAAGAATTTTTAAGACTAGTCAAGCATCGTACATGGCAAACCTTTAGTACGTTACAATTGCTTTTCTATTGAACACTTCAAAAGTAAACACGGCAATGTTGTGCGAGAGAGAGAGAGAAAGAGATAGAGAGGAAAGGCAGGGAGGTTAACCAAGTGCGAGAGGATGCCCCAAACACCTACCTCCTTGTTTAGAATACACTGACAATGCTTCACCACGTGAAACACGTCCATGTGGTCCATTTCGCTGAGTGCGCAGGATTACACTGGTGTTTGCGCAGGCTGGCAGATTGGAACAAGTAACACTTGTAACATCAGGCTCTCGATGGGTTGTCCCAACACATGAACCAATACGTGGCGTTTTAAAGATCGAATGTTCGTAAGGTTGATAGGTGACCACGAGATTGTACTTGTCGAAGAAGCCAGGTGGCTGGTTCCAGCGCAGTACAAATGTGTCATTAGCCACTTCAAGCGTCGGTAGCACCTCTGGAATATCTGTAACATAAAAATTGTGTTCTCAGACCAAGTGCACTCTGTTTTCAGCCACAAATATTAAGCGCAAAAACGTAGATGACATTGGTCAATATGCTGTTGAAGCAAAGTGCTTTAGTGAGGTTCTAGCTAAACGTTTCAGCTCATTATTTTAGTAACCATTGGACACCAAACACTCATTTCACCTCACAGTCGCTCTACCTCGAAGGCGCTGAGTGGCGAAGCCTTTTCTTTCACACACTATTATTACGAAGCTTTTGTTATAGCTTTCGTTTTCCGTGTCGCTTTTCTTGATCTTGAGCGAAAGTTTTGCGTTGTCGATGATCGTTTGAGACAGATGGACACAAAGAAAAACCACACTGTACACTTAAGGTGGCTCTGCGGTCCTCCTGTAGAGAACACCTTCGAGGGGGGGGGGGGGGGGTACCAGTTCACCGACATACCATTGATTGCACTTTCCTGAGCGAGATATTGTAAGCAGCCTTTATAGCAGCAAGCTCTGATGCCGTAGATGTAGTCATATGCGACAACTTAAATTTGAGTGTCAATGCTGCAGCCGGAATTGCAGCGGCACCTGATGAGCTGCTGGACGAGACGGACCCATCAGTGTATATCTGCGTTCAGTCAAAGTACAACTCATGTAATAATAGCAGTGTTGCTTGCTTCAATCCTACTCTGCATGGAGTGATTGCTTTTCTTTTAGATACACGGAATTTCTAGACGTACTTGCGGCTGGTCGAGGCACCACAAAGGACATGCCATTCTCGTAGCTGGCGTATATCCTGATGAAATGCTGTTTAGGTGCTTGGCTATGACGTATGAAAACGTAGCACGTGGTCTTCCGAAGGGTATAAGGGCCAAGTGGTGGTCGAGGACACGGTTAGCATGTCGAATGTGTGCTCTGAGGCAATCCACAACTCTATATGTCCTGACCGGATGGTCTTTGGCAAGCATGATTGTGGCATACGTAGAAGCGCATCGGGACAGTCCTAGGCAGACACGCTGTGCCTGACCCTGCAAACTCTCCAATGAATGAATATTGGATTTGCAAGTGTTAGCCAGTACCGGCAAGCTGTAGCGCAATAGACCCAAAAAATGGGTCCTGTACACCTGTAGCATGGAGGCCACAGAAGTTCCCCATGCTTTCCCACACATGAATTTCATTATATGCACAATAGATAGCAGTCTCTTCTTCAAGTACGCACATTGTGGGCTCCACGAAAGACTTCTGTCGATTATTATTCCCAGGAAACGATGCGTCCGTGCATATTTGACACTCTGCCCATTGGTGTAAACAGGGTATGGCGCCATTGGTTTGCGTGTAAACGCCATCAACGCGCACTTCACAGTTGATATAGTTAGGCCTTGTTTCTGAAGGGAGGCTGTTGTGAGGGTTGCTGCTCGCTGTATTCGTGCACGCACCTGAGGGCGAGTTACTGCAGCACTCCAGAGGCAAATATCATTGGCGTATATGGGTAGGCACACCGACTTTGGCAGAACCTTCACCAGACCAATGAGGGCCACATTGAACAATGTGGGGCTTAAAACACCTCCCTGAGGTACTCCGCAGTAGGTGTAATGTTGGGCAGTTGTACCCTCATTTGTTTGCACAAAGAAACCCCTGCCAGTTATATAATCTTTAACATATTGAAACATTCGTCCACCAATGCCCATTGCTGTGAGAGAAGTGAGGATGGCATCGTGAGCTACATTATCATATGCACCTTTCACGTCAAGAAAGAGTGCCACTAGTATGCGCTTGCGACTTTTTTATTGCTGAACAAACGATGATAAGTCAAGGCCACAGTCGATGGAGGAGCGGCCCCAACAATAGCCTGCCATGCAAGAAGGGTATTTGGTGTATTGTTCCAAGTACCACTCGAGACGAAATAGAACCATTCTTTCCATCACTGTTCCGAGGCAGCTTGCGAGGGCAATAGGGCGATACGTTTTCAAGTCCAATGGTGATTTTCTCGATTTCAGAAGTGGTATTATTCGACTTCTTTTCCATTCTCGGCGAACACTGCCGCTGAGCCAGGAGTTGTTGAAGCATGTTAACAATATCTCGTGAAAATGAATCATATTCTGTGATTAGAAGGCAGCACTTCAGAAATTCAGTCTCCCATGCGTAGGAGGAATCATGAACAATTGGTACATGAAATAAGACATTGCCATCATGAAGCTCTAGCACGAGGGCATGATATTATATATCAATGGCTGCCTGGACATATCGGTATTACCGGAAATCAATTAGCCGATGATGCAGACCGCTCAGCCCATGAAGGAACCCGTGTGGTCCCGATTCCTCTATCAAGGAATGATGCAGCAAGACAACTTTACCTGCTGGCTCGAGATCTTACACGCACGTCCTGGTCGTCTACCATCTTCCAAAGGTGTCAATTTTAGGAACTGGATCCTTCGCTCAAACTAACGCTACCATCACAACTTTCCCGCTCCGATGCGACACTGTTATGCCGCCTTTGGTTGGGTGTTGCATTCACAAAGGTGTACTCTTTTCGCATTGGTATGGCAGACACTTCTACATGCGACTACTGCGGAGCTGAAGAGACAATTGAACACGTCCTGTGCAGATGCGCTTGCTACGACACACAGCGATGTCAGCTCCGTATGGTTGATAATCAACTTGACTCCAGACCATTTTGTGTGCAGAATATTCTAGGACCTTGGGCATCTGCCTCAGTTGCTGAACGGTTGTAGCTGGGACGCCCTTCCTGTGTGTGTTTTCGTTTTTTTTTATGAGTGCGCGTGCGTTTTTTTTTTCCTCTATCTAACCCCTCTTTTTTGCCCCTACTTCCCCACCCCCAGCGCTGGGTAGCAAACCAGATGCCAATATCTGGTTAACCTCCCGGCCTTTCCTTTCTCACTCTCTCTCTTGCGCAGAAAGCGACTAAAGCACTCCTACTTTACTTAAATTCAACAAACCTGAGCGACCGCCTGTACACTGTGTGTGCTCCCCCGAGTGTGCTCGTGATTGTGTGTACCTTCTTATCTATGTGCAACCTCTTTTCTCCCCTTCATCCCTTCCCCAGTGCAGGGTAGCAAACCGGATGTGCGTCTGGTTGACCTCCCTGCCTTTCCTTGCATCTTTATCTCTCTCTCTCTCTCTCTCTCCTGAGCGAGATTACGAAGAGTGGCTATGAGGACATATGAAGCCCGCTTTATTTTAGAACCTGCCTGATAATCTAGAAGAAATCGAAGAGTTTACGAGCTACAAGCGCCTGGAAGACTTCAACTGACCCGTCTGAAACCTGCTTTTCTGCGTCGTATGCTATCCTCACTCAAAGCACCAGCTCTCCAAAGTTTACGGCCATTCGGGCATCCCAAGTTGGTGCTGTCAGTTAGTGCAAATAAAACGATGACAAACACAAAGGCGATGAAGAAAAGCACTTGTCCTCGTCAGTTTTCTTCTCTACCTTGTCATTCTATATGTACAGATTTGTCTCAAGCCGATATGGATGACCAACTAATCAACACAATTCGTCTTTCCTTCATCCCCACCTGATCGCTCCACAGCGTTCATCAACCTACAGTAAAGATGCAGTGAATATGTCTGCAAAGATTATATTTTCGTGCTTTACGCCCATCTTCACTGGAATCACACTTTCATGGAGTGTTCAGGGTTCTGCGCAACAGGTATTGACCTCTTCCAGTTGCTTTGTATACAAGTATTCTTCACTAATATTCTATAATGCCTGCATTACTACTGATATTTATACTCGGACTCTTGCTGAAATTTATACTGGTGTGGTAGGTCTGTAAGAGTAAGGTATGATATATATATATATATATATATATATATATATATATATATATATATATATATATATATATATATATATATATATATATATCGGTAATGCCCTAGTGGGCTTTTAGCATTAGTAGTGATAGTAGTAATATTCCTTTATTTAGAGTAAGCATACGACAAAGCTCACTGCAGGAACTAGAGATAAAGGCAAACAGCGTGTCAAAAGCCCTCGTTAGTTCGCAGTTTGTATTAGGCGTCAACACGACCACATAAAAAAAATCAATAAATTAGCTTTAGAGAAATGGACAACAAGCAGCTTGCAAGTGTACTTCAAAACTCAAAAACAGACAAACCAAAACGTTTACGGAACATATTTGAACAGTTCTAAGTCGCAGATTAACACAACCAAGAGTATTTGACCAAAAAGTTCTAAAACTGAGGAACACAAAATGCACTGGGATGCACCATTATTCTACTGTACACTTTGACAGTTACATGAGAAGGGCTGAAGCGCCAGTGCTTTATGGGTGTTTAATAGCGCAATTACATATTGTTATTCTGAGGGAATGGTAATTGCTGCTTGGAGGTGCTGAGATTGAGCTTCCTATTCAGGGAGGGGTATGAACATGCAGATCGACCGTACTGCAGATGGAAGCAATCAATAAAAGTAGAGATGGGCATTTATACCAAACAAAGTTATCGAAATGAATATTTTACATGCAAAGATAGCTCAGGAGCTACTGATATGAAAAAAGGCGCCCATAAATTTACAGTGCCATTATTTGTGATCTGTGCACGTTTAGCTTGCGAATTCAAAGTGAAAGGCGCTACAGTGCACCTGAACTTCGAACCTCTTGCACTGGTTTTTTTCAGTAAAGAAAAATATACTTGCTAAAACACACCAATCATACTATAGGAAGAGAAATAGTAGAAATCGAAGCCCTAAAGCATGAAACTGAACAGCTGCACAGCTTTCTTTTGAGTTTTTTGGTCACTAGGTGGTTATTAGTGGATTATAAACTTCAAAACCTTTGCATTGCAAAGAGGCGCACGCAGGGTGTATAAAAATACCTTTTTTGTACATGACAACGTTGTTTAGGGTGACACCAGGTGAAGTAAACTCCAGATGTTTTTTTCTGTGCTTACGTACGGTGATTTTCACGCTGCAAGCTTCTATTTTCCTGCACGTGATGCTAGTGTGTTCAGCGTCAACACTGATTCCACCCGCACAGGAGCCCACACTCAGGCCTCCCCCACCACTGCTTCCGCTGTTTTCTGGAGCGACTTCTACTATGTAGCCGTCAAAGCAGCCCTCCGGTGGTTGCCAGGAAACAGTTATGGAATCCTTGTCCATCGCTGTCAATTTCAGCTGCCTCACTTCAGGAAGGTCTGCACAGTGTGTTCGAGAAAAATGATTCAGTAAACAGGTTCATCTGCATAACCTGTAATTTACGTTCCCGTTACCTAGACACCTGCTGCAAACCCCTTGAAGGGGCCTCATTGTAACACGCCACTTTAGCCACATACCTGCCGTGTGATACGCAGTGAGTGAATTTTGAAGACGAGAGCCTCAAATGCGCCATTTAAAAATTATTCGTTTGTGCCAGCACCGTCAGGAAAGGAGCTGCGAAAATTGCCACTTTTGATGACATCACAATGTCACATGATCCTAACGACAAGGATTGGCAAAACTTGCCAGGTCACGCGATGACGCCATTATACGTCGTCCGCGACTGTCTCCGTCATGTTGTTTCCTAAAGTCGTCGTATTTTCTTACCTAGTTTTTTACATAACTTGTTATTTTGCCGAAAGAAGCGTATATAATGAGGTCTACACTAGAGTAATACTATTGCTTTTCTATCCTAGACATAAGAGCCTTCTTTATCACCTAACATAGCGCGTATCTTTGTATCATATCTACATGAACCGTCACACCATGGTTCATGTCTGCACACACGAGCGTTATTTCTTAAAACTGGAATGCAAGTTTGCGTTCACAAAGATACATGCGTTGAATTCTTTATAGGTGCTAGTTTTATGAAGCCTTCCCTTAGAACAGAGATTTTATGCGACAGTGAGACACTTTGATTTACTCATATATTATTGAAGGTTGAGCACGCTTTGCAGGGGTTTAATTCTTGCGTCATGAATAAAGAACGGAATTGGCCTAATCATCAGAAACAATTCAGTGAAAATTAAATGCCGTGTTTCGCAGCAGGGAACGATTGTAGTATTCTAAAATGGCAGCACGCATTGCAATTCTTGTCTCCTTGATCAGGAAATAACTGAAATGCAACCCCTAATTTCGTACCTGAAACACAAGAACTTAGATTACCGTGTTTTGCCACGTTGAACAGCATCATCTTACTCGTGGACGCCTTACGTGAATGCCAAAGGCTTAATACTTCGTCATTTTTTGCTCATGTACAATATGAAACGCATGTATGAAGCGATCAGCCAAGGCCAACAGTCTTTCACATAAAATATTTATGCAGTGTGCCACAGCAATCTTGTTCCAGTGGTCACAAAACCATTACGCTCTACCAGCGTCTCCGGCCTGCTGGGCAGCAAAGATTGTTCCTTCGGGAGCCAAGATAAGCAGCACGATCTCCCACAGCTTTCCAGCCTGAATTATAGGTCCTGTCGGAGCATCTTCACCCAGGACAATTTACTGCAAAACATGCTGTTTTTCGTACTTCTATCCACCTACGGTGCCTAGTTTAACCAGTGCTTTTCACGAATCTCGCACAAATGTCTGGGAGCCTTCCAGAATTTCAACCTTCTGATAGGCTTGCCCGCTTGCCCCGCCACGGTGGTCCAGTGGCTAAGGTACTCGGCTGCTGACACGCAGGTCGCAGGATTGAATCCCGGCTGCGGCGGCTGCCCTTTCCATTTTCGATGGAGGCGAAAATGCTGTAGGCCCGTCTGCCCAGATTTGGGTGCAAGTTAAAGAACACCAGGTGGTCTAAATTTCCAGAGCCCTCCACTACGGCGTTTCTCATAATCATATAGAGGTTTTTGGACGTTAAACCCCAAATATCAATCAAGGCTTGCCCACTTGAAAGCAAAACAATCGAGATTATTCTTGAACTAGCGCCGTCACCGAAGACCTAACTCGAGCATTTGATGCTACATGCGTAAATACTTCCGCACCTAAGCATGAGATAAGATTATCGAAGGCCGACGCTCTCTTCGCTATCAGTGTACAGCGTGTATCACTCGTAGCTTGACCTCTACTTTACCGCGAGTACAGCTTCGCCCAAATGAAAAGTTTCGCGTTCAACCCATCCTCTTTCATGGAAGAGGCTTGTGACAGTATTGTGATTTAAGTCCGTATGTTCTTGCTAATGTTGGCATTTGGCCACATATTATTTGTACTAATGAATATTATAATTCCCCTGGTTTTGAGAGGTATTGATATTAAAGAAATTCTATGTTACCGCCTCCTCCTAATAATAAGTGCGCCGCATAGAAACGGGCCTTACACAATAAGTAATTGCCGGTACTCTATAATCAACCATCGTGTCCTCTATAAAGTATTTAGGTGGCTTTGCACTGTCTTCAGGATAAGAGATTTTGAAAGATTCCTCCGCATCACCTGCTTTCCCGTTATTTCTGGTATCCACGAACCATTCACCACGCACGGATCACTTGGCTTGTCTTGATTATGTGGTGAAATGTTTAGTGGTATCATATTGCTACCAAGAAGATCGTAGACGTTACAACGTTGCATCGTTTGGGATGTAGAGATTACGTTGGCGTCATCAAGTCACAGTCTAATTTTGTAGATTTTTTTACATTCATAGCGACGTCTTCGATGGTCACATTTCGGGTTTTTTTTCAAGCATTCAAGTCTTTCGTAATACCTTTTAAACGCATAACTTATGTCAGTCATGAAATAGGATGTACGACAGCACATGGACCACTTCATGATCAAAATATTTGTACAATACATGAAGGACCCCTGCACGCCGTGCCGCAATTGCTTAGTGTCTCAATCTGCGTCCTCTAGCCTTTTCCACATTATTAGCACAAGGTAGCCTATTGAGAGTAAGACAAGTGGATAAGATATCAACCACATGACTTCTGCTAAAAACACACTAGTGAAGTTAAAAGTAACATCATTGACATACTCGCTTTTGCTATGGCATGCAGCTGTGACGTCGATAAATTCTTCACGTTGGCAGTATGTTTACCTCAGTAGAATAGTTACTATACCTTAAAAATCTTCCCTTGTTTAGTTTCAAAAAGCTTTCATGACAACTTGAACGTTAATATTCGCATTGTACAATGGTTTCTTTGGTTGAAATGGGTACTTCTCGTGAGGTGATTCAGCTCGAGTCCAGCGCGCTAGACTTAAATTGCTCAGTATGCTAAAGTGATTTTTTTGGTGGTTTTTCCTGCTGGCTAGGGGACTGGGTTTGTACAGCAGCGCGCGAGTTGGTCTTCATGAAGGCTCTTTCAGGCAAGCATTGATCACTGAAAAAGCACCTCCGAATAGGCCACACTTGCACTGACCTATTTAGAGATTACCACATTAACGAAATAAGGAGCTTACATTCATACAATTGTTCTGGCTTATTATGTAAATTCTATTAACGTGCATCACACTTAAGGTATCGCTAGCATACCACAAGGATTTCGAAACCAGTCTCAGTCGTTCCACTGTGCCGCTTTGTAACCGCAGCAAGATGTCCGTAGTACCATGAAAACACTATAAAACACAGGCATCAAGCTATGATAACGAAGGAAATGAGAAGGTGCCACAGCACACTATCTTCTCAACGTCTTCGGCGAAAGAGAAGCACACAGAAGCACTGCAATTTTATCTACATGGCAGTGCGCAAAGGATTCCAAAAATTAATGAAAGGTTAATAGCATGGCTTTCAGTTCCCGTATTTGTGCGTGATTGCTGCTGTTCCTTCACCTTCACACAATATTCGAGACAATTCTGTGCAGTCAAATTCTGATATAAAGAACAAGAACTCCTGAGCATTGGTAATTACATTCTCAGTGTGTCATCTCCAAACAGGTATTTAGAACTTCAAGCGCAAAGTACAAGGTGTATTTACAATGACCTCCTAAAAAGCGTAGTGCCTGCTCAGAGCACTTATGAAAGTTTTTATTTTATTGGACAGGCAAATGTCAGAATAAAAAGGCGCAATACTTACACCCTGGCATCACAATAGATGACACTGTTCTGGCTGTTTATCTGGTTAGGAGGGGAACTTGGGCTAACGAAAAAAACTTTACAGTTGCCTCACAAAGGCAAACTGAGTAATGCGATTGCAACAAATTAACACTGTTTGCGAAGTAATGCTATCAGCCTACTACTAAATGAGAACTCGCGTTACTCAAGGAAACGCTGATGCAATGTGACAAGACCGATAACCTCAGCCGTTGCACAATATGCCACCATATGTTATTGCATGGCATGATATCCATGTAGACTCAACCGCTGTTTGTCGAAATTTCAACATCACTTTAAAATTGCGTCTTAAGTTTTGTCTTTGTCCAGAAACTGTCTAACAGAACATATTTCATCGGTTAAGTCAGTTTATTGCCCCGCGGCGGTGGTCTAGTGGCTAAGGTACTCGGCTGCTGACCCGCATGTCGCGGGTTCGAATCCCGGCTGTAGGCAGCTGCATTTCCGATGGAGGCGGAAATGCTGTAGGCCCGTGTGCTCAGATTTTGGTGCACGTTAAAGAACCCCAGGTGGTCGAAATTTCCGGAGCCCTCCACTACGGCGTCTCTCATAACCATATAGTGGTTTTGGGACGTTAAACCCCACATATCAATCAAGTCGGTTTATTGAAAGCTAGAAGGCGATGATGATGGACGGTCTTCCGATGGCCGCGTCATAGATTAATCGACTAGTTTTTTTTTTCCTATAAGGCTATCACTACCGCCGTTGCGATCGTAAAACAGCGCAACAAGATATGGCAGAATACCAAAACTCTCACATACCCAGCGGTGACTAATAGCTGCGTTTATAGACGGGACCAACTTAGTAACGTATATACGCTATATCGATGCACGAATTGCTTCGCGACAATTCAGTCTTAAAAGAGCATACGTGTTGGATTCGGGCACAAATCTACACGGCCCTTTATCATTGCTATTATGTGATAAGACCGTTTATTGGTTGCTGGCAACAATGGTGGCCCATTTGCTTATGGCTGTCTGCCTCCCTGGAGGCATTGTAATAGGTACCATGATGTAACTGTGCGTTTTGCAATCAGTCAACCACCTTGTCCAATATCTCGTTGATGAAGATGAGCTGGCGATTGAACAAAATACGAGCGCATTTTCTTCGTTTGTGAAAGTTGCATGGCCTTAGAGGATCGTGCGATTGCATGAACTCTTTTTTTGGTGAAGCGGACGGGTGCGCATTAGCATCGGGAATAGCTGTATTTCTTTTGGTCATGTAAATCGGGTGCACGTTGCTATCGATGGTTCATCAGAGCTCAATAATTATGGTACAGACGGCATCAGTTAAACCACTTGTACCGTCTTGGCGGGCTTTTTCACGCTCAGTGCGCAGCCCCTGTATCACCAACAATCAGCGTTGCAGCTGTAATCATTGCATCAATCTCGAACACAGCATTGTCAATGATTATTCGTGAGAGCAGTGCAGAATTTTCCTGTACGAGCCCATTTCAGCCGAGCCAGCCGAAAACGATTACTTACACTCATGAGATAGAATGATTTCTACGAAGCGATGTATTGAGAAGTAGCACTGTACCTTTTCCTGGGAGAAAAATACCTCTCAACGTTGTTCCAGAGAATGTGAGTTGCGAGGCAGTCTCGACATGCGCGTGCACTGTGAAAGTTACGTTGGCACATGCCTTAAACTTGTCGCAGGTGATCTGAGTTTGACTGTGGTGTACGGCAGTGCCATTAGCACAAGAACCCACTCGATGGGGCGTAAGCATGTCGCTTTCATTGCTATTGTACAACACCTCCACCAAGTAGTAGTCGAAGCTCACGGCTGGTTTGGTCCAGGAGACGGTGACAAAATCAGGCCCAACATCTATTAGAGTAACGTTTGCCACTTTAGGCACCACTGAAAAAAGAAAAAAAGTACATTTACATAATGTTTATATAGTGGATTATTGCAGAACAACAAATCAATTAGGACAAGTTTATTCAACAGTTCAGTGAACAATATATGCCAATATTAAGGCAATTCGTTCAACGTATGCTTAAAATCATACGTTTAATTGAATTGGATTGAGTTTATTTTTTAACAAGGTTGTGAAAACCCTAGGCGAAAAAGCTGCATTGAGCCGCTTGAGAGGAACCTGGTTACCGCTGTATAAGTTTTTGCTTGAGTATCACCTGCGCTATTTGTATGATGATTTAGATAGATTTTCATTAGTAATGAGGGACTACTCTGCTAAAACTACGTTAATCACGTCAGTGCTGCATCTAAATCTCTAAGAATTATTCCTTCAAAATAAATTGTGCGATGAAAGTGAACAGCCTTTGGCGGCCATAATAAAGGCCTTGAAACTCACGTGACAATTCTGATGGGCAGTCATTAAAAAATGAATGAGGAGCATGATGTAAAATCCAAGCAGAGCGTGCAGAACGGGAGGGGAGTGGCGTCAATTATGGTTGGCTTGTGGACGCTAGCCTTGTGCGCTCTTCAGTTCTCGCTTTGTCTTGACAAACGGATAAAACAAGAAGTGAATTGGGAGCACAATGGGAATCGTGACATGAACATCAGGAGGCTGCAGCTTCCGAGGTGTTTGGCTCTTGGACGCTATGCGGGCTCCCTTCAATTTTGTTTTCTCTGTTTGCTTACTTTCAAATACTTTTTTGCTTTCTCGCTATATTGCGCTATTCTTCATGAAAACGACGAAATAATCATCAGTTCGGACGCCCTGCTTCACCTAAAATACATTCGAATAGCAGGTTAATGAGGATTAGGTGTGCGTGTCTCCGTGTTATTATATTGCGCCCTATTTCTTTGTGCTATCATTGTTATCGAAATATGCCGTACATACACGGTTGCTTTGGCAAAGGGTTACATGACTTCCTGTGTGCACGCATCACAATAACTACTCAGAAGTACTGAACCTATTGGCGGTGTGTCACCGGTATTTCAGGCATAAGTGCTTGTTCACTATCGACTTTGTTTATTTAACTCTACAGTTTCCTCATAAATGGGGAGACGCTGCTCTCGTCGGAGAGAGTGGACGCGCGTCGTGTCGGCTCCGGTTTCAACGAATGTTTTGCAGTGGAAGTCACCTAGAAGCCCACAAGACTTTGGTACCCGCGTATTCAGCTTGTCATCAGGAATCGCCCGGCACCAAGTTCCAGGTGGGGACTTGAATTTTGACACCTTTACCGAGAGAGAGAGAGAATAAACTTTATTGAAGAATTAAAATTACGTGACTAATCCCGGGTGGAGCCCTCTTGTAGAGCCCCACTGGCCACAGCGGCTCGCCGGGCCTGGTCTAGGGTCACCAGTTGGCTCCCCAGTGCCAGCTCGGAAAGCCGTGCCTCCCAAGACCACGTTGTGAGTGTTTGTAGTGAGCGCACCAACCTAGATACTGCATTGGCTGGCCGCTCGGTACATTGGTAGGTTATGTGTGTAAGTGTGGCTGTGTGGTTACTACACCATGGGCATACCCCTGTTGTGGATATCTGTGGAAAAATTGCGTGTGGTTTTGATATGTGGGGGTATGTGTTCGTTTGGAGGCGGCGCCAATCCCGGGCTTGTTGGCTGCTTAAGTTCGGATGTGGAGGGGCGTACGTGCGTCTTGTAAGGCGTTGGTTTTCCAATATCTGCCTGCTTGTTACACTTTGCTCTTCATGATGCCCTGTGAGGTGTCCTGAGGAGAGTCCTGCGTCTCAGCCAGTAAGTCCGCGAGCTACGCAGTTTGCCTCCTCGTTCCCCCCCAGGCCGTCATGCCCTGGGCACCAAGTGACGCCATGTGCCTCCATCAACATGGACCCCAAAATATCAGTGACGCACCTTGGAAGTGTGCCTCTAAGGTATAAGCGACATGCAGCTTGTGAGTCTGTCAAAATATACGCTGAGCGCCCCCTTTTTTCGGCTTCTCTGATTGCCAAGGCTATGGCTGCTGCCTATGCGGTGGCACTTGATCTGGTGCGTAGGGACGCGCAGGCCACGACTTTGCTTTGGTTAGTCACTGCCAATGCATATGCTTGTTTTCTGGAGCCTTGTGGTGGCGCGGGATAAAGACTGACGTCGGTAAAGTAAGCGTCTGGATCGCTACTTCTCTGCAGGAGTTCTCGTGCTCGTGCTTGACGGCGCTTTTTGTTGTAGAGCGGGTGCATGTTTTTTGGAACTGGTTCCACGATTATTTGATCACGTATTTGCTTGGGTACAATGACTGTCTCATCGCCACAATATTGAGGGGTGAGAGGGTATCCCAGCCTCTGTAACAGTGTTCTTCCCTGGAGCGTAGCGGTGAGTCGTTCTCGCTGTGCGATTAGCGTGGCGGCGGCCAATTCTTCATACGTATTATGCATGCCGAGTCCCATGAGTTTTTCTGTGCTTGTGCTGTTCGGAAGTCGCAATGCTGCTTTGTACGCAATTCTGATGAGTCTGTCAATCTGCTCTATTTCGGGCTTGCGTGTTGATTGAAAGGGAAGAGCGAACGTGACTCGGCTGAGAACGAAGGCATGTACAAGGCGTACCGTGTCGGCCTCTGTCATCCCATCATTACTTCGCGCAATTCTAGCTATAAGGGATGCAATACTCTTTACGGTGTGTTTGAGTTTGCCTATTGCAGTCTTTACGCCGTTGTTTTCTTGCACGTGCATGCCTAATATTCGAGCTACTGGGGTCCTGTTGATGATCTGTCCGGCAATTTCTAGCTGCAGCGCGGGTGCACGGTTGGACCGAGTGCGTGGGGGTCTTATTTGCAAATATTCCGATTTGCTAGGTGCGCATGACATGCCTGCAGCAGTGACGTAGCCTTGAATCATGTCCATAGCGGTTTGCAGTACATCTTGTCGTTCTCCATAGGAGCCCTTTGTTGCCCATAGCGTAATATCGTCCGCGTAAAAGGCACAGCCCAGGTTTGGTACAGTCTCCAGCTGGAGGACTAGTTTCCGGAGGCCGATATTGAATAAAAATGGAGACAAGATGGAGCCCTGAGGTGTGCCTTTCAGTGGGAGGTCGTATGGTGATGATTTGGTACCAGCTATGCCAATCTGCGCCTTGCGATTTCCAAGAAAATCAGACGCATAGTTGAATATGCGTTGTCCGCATCCTATAACTGCAAGACCGTCTAGTATGGTAGAGTGCGCAATATTATCAAATGCTTTTTCGATGTCGAGTGCAACGAGTAGATTGTTGAGACTACCTGGCGCTGGGTTAAGCACTTCCTCTTTGAGCAGTAAGAAGATATCCTGGGTAGACACTCCTCGCCTAAATCCGTACATAGATGTTGGTAGAAGCCCCCGTTCTTCTGTGTATTGGTCAAGGCGAGTGAGTATAACTTTTTCGAAGAGCTTGCCAATGCATGACGTTAAAGAAATTGGTCGTAGCTGATCAAGGCTTCGCCGTTTGCCTGGTTTAGGTATGAGTACAACCTGTGCCAGTGTCCATTCTGCAGGTATCTTTCCACTCGGTGTCCAAACTTCCTGATTAAAGTGGTCTGTGATGGCTTGTAATGCTTCATCGCTGAGGCTCCGTACCATGGCATTTGTAATGCCATCCAATCCGGGCGCTGTATTTCTTTTGAAGCTTTGAGCCGCTGCATAAACCTCCGCAAAGGTTATGGGGGCGTCGAGCTCAGTGTTGGGTTCTCCATTGTATTCTTGACTGGGTGTTGGGCTAACGTTTCGCTTGCGTTCTCCTGTGTAGCGTTGTTTCAGCTCTTCTATTAACTGATCCGGATCACCTTGAAATTCCCCAGCTAGCCGTTGAAGGGTAGCGTTTGTTTCGGTTCTTGTTGCAGAGGGATCCAAAAGACTCCGTAGGATGTTCCACGTCTTTTTCGTGCTTCATGTGCCTTTTAAGGAATCGCAGAAGGTGCGCCAGTTGTTGTTGTAAAGTTCTTTTGAGTATGCGTTTACTTCCTCCGTGATTTTCGCTATACGGAGTCTGAGTTTCTTATTTAGCTTTTGTCGGCGCCACCGTTTCGTGAGGCCTCGACGAGCTTCCCAAAGATGTGTCAAGTGGGTGTCAATGGCAGGTGCGTCGGTAGTTGTTTGATATATCTTGGTGTTCTTGTCATAGAAACCCTTAATGTACGGTGTCCATTGGGCTATCGTTGTTGGCTTGGGCCCGTCTACTTCCTGTTGCTCTCTATATTTAGTCCAGTTAGTCAGTCTGGCTTTTCCGAGCGGGCGTCGCAGTCGAGCTGTTTCATATGTTATTTGAACAATATTGTGATCGCTGCCCAGATTGTCGTCCAGCACACTCCAGCGCATGGTCGCGGCATTGTTGGTTACGGTAAGGTCGGGAGTGGTGTCCCTGTTGACACTGTTTCCTATACGAGTCGGTATGCCCGGTGTCGTGAGGAGTGTGTAGTCGTAGCGCTGTATCGCTTCTAAAAGTCGCGTACCTTTGGGTCTGTCTGCGCTATAACCCCATGTGGTGTGCCAAGCGTTGAAGTCCCCAGTGATGATCAAGTGGTCGCGTGGTTGAAGCTTGTTGTTCAAATAGTGGAAGATATTGCTGAATTCTGCTTCTCTGTCTTGTGGGGGACTGTATATGTTACATATAACCTGCCTCGGGCGTCCTTTCTTCGCTGGCCAGAGCGTTACGATAAGGTGTTGCGTCTCTTCGTTCGGTGCCGTTATGCATGTAGCTGCGAATTCTTTCCGGACGAGTGTCGCAATCTTAGGTGTATTTGGATCCATGTACAGTTTGTAGCCAGAAACTGTTTTAGGCCTGGCTCCCACCTCTTGCAAGCAGATTACGTCAGGAGGAACCAGCGCCGCCTTTATGTATAGAGTGAGTGTAGCGTGCTTGTTGTGCAGGGAACGACAGTTC